AAAATTAATGAATAAAACAATCATGAATAAACAAATACCTTTTAATTTATGATAACTAAGTTGATTGTTCCATAACAATCCTTTCTGATCATATTAAAAGTAATTAATGATTAATTACAGGAATAAAACTTTATGATGTTGAATTTTCTATCTATTTCTAAAAATAAATAAATATGGCTGCGTAACAATTCTTTCTGATTGTACACCGCCAGATCTAAAAAGAATAATTAATAATTAATAGTATAAATGCTTCATTCACCCATTGTCTCTGATTTTTACCTTCCTAATCTTGCGGGATATCAAGGTCTTATTTTTGAATGAACCAATATACTTTGACTGGTTATTTGGAACATTGTCAGTACCTCTAATTCCTTAATTTATCCTGTAGTAAAAACATTGCTTCGAAAATAGGAATAATAACAAAAAAGTAAATCCAAATTCAAATTTAATAACTAACAAAATACTGCTTATATAACACACATTTTTCAGATTGAGAAACGATTTTGATCTCGTGGATCTCTCGCGCTGAATCCAGTAAAGGCATTAAATGTGACAAGTTTTTATTTTTCCTCAAATAAGTTAGTTGATCTTTAAATACCCAAGTAGTGGATCATATCTACAAAATCAGACAAATCAATATTTATGGATGTTAATAGATATAGAAACAATACAACCAATGAGTTATTTAAAGGTCATTGGATCCAAAGATATCTAATTAATGGTGAAAGTTAAAAATAATACAGGCTTGTCAAAAATAGTATGTGACATCTGATAAAGTTTTCAAAGAAATAGACATGTAATGGACTTGTGATGAATGTATATATGTATTGTTGCTTTTTACCAATGCAACATTTATTTATTTACATAAAAACCAAAAAAAAATTCTTTTTGTTCACGATATAACGTTTTCTTCAATTTAAAACTTTTAACTTTTTTTTTTAATTTAATATTTTACTTTCTAATTAATTATCATTTATTTTCTATAACGAAATTATGAAAAACTTGATTTCCTTCCCATCTTGCGTTATCCTGTTTTTTTTTTCATCAAAGATTTTGTTATCTTTTCAGTGTTCATTCTTTCTTTATTTCCAGTCCTTAATTAAAATTTTTTTTGAAAGACTCGTAGGGAATGATGATCTTGGGGGTATAATAACCTTTCTTGGACTATTGTTATTTATCCTTTACTGCTGTTACTAGTTGTCTCAAGGGTATAGTTTTACATCATTTGCTTTTTATCTCTGAAACCTGTGTCTAGGCTTCTTTAGTCATGTGTAGTTGATTATATAATGTATGATAATAATATATGGTTCCAATAATAATTACATTTCATTTCATTGATTTCCACTTGGACTTTGAAACATGTTTTGTTTGGATATTATCTCTTAAAACTATTACATACTGGTATTGATGTTGCATGCACAAGCTATACAAAAAACTTTAGTTTATCAAAAGGGTATTGGGTCTCATAGGTTTCAGATTTAATAAAAAATTTCCTTTCACAAACAAGCAAGCGTCTTGCAATTGCACGCCTCATATCTATAAAGAATTTTCTACAGGCGAGGCCAATTAAACAAGTTGGAGGTCGTTGAGGCTTTAATACTCTTTTTGACAACAATGCAATTCAATAAACTTTAGTGCCTGAAAATTTTAATTGATCACTATCATCAGGAAAACATTGGTCTGATTTGCACAAGGAAGGTGAGATATTTTAAATATTGAGCTTTGAGGATACACTTTAACGTCTGCAAATAAATTTCCAGATTGTCTAAAAGCAGTTTTCCATATGTATGTGTGATCTTCAATAACCTTTGACACTTTTTATAATTATACAAAAAAATTATGCTTCACTCCACGTTTTGGTTTCTGTTCCCTATATATAGGGTATTCAGGCTATTTTATATAAATAAAAATAAGTTTATTAATACAAAAAAAATCACTAGCTATCAAGAACTAATAATAAGTGGACCAAAAAAAAAAAAAAAATGATGTGAGCCACATCAAAAAAGTAAAGGTTTTGTTTGCCAAGATCCTTCTCATTCAATAATTAATTGAAAAAAAGTAATTGTTTGCTAATATTTCCTTCATTAATTGATTAAAAAGGAAAATATAACGATTTATCTTGGTATAATAGATAATAATGCATTTTTTGTCTTTGTGACAAAAAAAAAGGATACATATTAATTTTTTCTTATTCTTGTAAATAATTATTAAATTCGTGTTGGTTTCAACACAGAAGAAGATAGCAGAGAAAATCAAGCACAAGTTAAAAGACTAGCAAGAGAAAAAATGGAAGGTTATCGAAAGCAGAAAGGTTTTACAACCTTGAAAAAAAATTGAACATTTGCAATTTAACATCTCTCGAAAATAGAAATTCCTTCCCTGAAATCAAGTTCAACAAAGTTTATTTTTAACATCTCCTCAACATCAACATCAATATGCCATGTTGGCTTCCCTTCCCGCATGATCAGTAGAGAATATTTATCACAACTTTGTGAAACTACAAATTTCTTTTTAATTACCAAAAAGACATTAAAAAACAAAAAATCAACAATCCTGAAATAGAGATTAAATGTCGCACTGGATTGATTTTGTTGTCTTTCTCACACGTCAAAAAAAACCAATTTTTCGAAACTACTCACGATTGTTGATCAACTGAATTATGCTAATCTCCCGACAGTCTGTGCGACAAATAATGCTCACTTAAAAGTTGTTACAAATTATTTTACCAGTTAGGAGATTAATATCTTTTAGTCTATGGAATGGAAAATTTTAATATTAATAAAGGGATCATCTCCTCAGGTATAGGTGCGGGTGCGAGTTTGGGACTTTACGGAGCCTTCGCGTGTGCTCTCGCTGGAGGTTGCATTGCTCCTTGGTTAGACGAAGAAAACAAGATATATGATCTTAACTGGTGTAATAATGTGAATTTAGCTGGTAATGCGATTAATTTTGGTGCAAATGCTATTGAAGCAGGATTTATTTGGAACAATCATACTAGGATATCTAAACTGGAAGAGGAATTAATGAATAGGCATTATTGCGGAATTAATAGGGATGAAAACAGTAAAGAATTTGTAGACAATATGGTAAATCTAGGAATTTTGAAAGGGAGAGTTAATGCTCTTGAAAAAGAAAAAGAAGATACAAAAACCTTGAAAGTGAGGGTTGATGTTCTTGAAAAAGAAAATAATAAATTAAAAGAATATATTCCTACCACGAATAAAAGAATGTCTAATTTAGAGGAGGAACTAAGGTTACAGGATTAAGAGGGCTTCCCTTAGAAGGAGAGATGTATGTTATTTCTTTTCCCGAGGAAACAAATTGTTTTGCAAAGAAGAAAAATATAATATTTATTCATTGTATGTTTCATCTTTTTATTTTATAATTAAAGAAAGATATTTTGAATCGGAGATTTTTTTTTTCTTTGTTAAAGTCGAATTTGTGATTGTTGATTTTTCTTTTAATTCTCTTATTTTGTATAATGAATGATGCTGGCGAAAATACCATTTGTGGTATAACATCACTCCGATGAGAACTCTTTATTAATAGAATATTGATTGATGTTATATTATTTTCAACATCCAACCTGACATATAAAATATACCTGAGAAATTTCTTCAGAGTATATACTAACTCTATTCTACCATATTGAAATATCAAATATAAACTGGTTCTTTTAAACTTAGAATTATTCCCACAGTTCTAATCACCCATTGAGGGTTACTATTTGAGGTATAACTACTACCATCTTAAACACTCCGCTAGTGATCTCCCATTCCTCTGGGTGAGTTGGTATTTAAAATTAGCTTGATTCTTGAAAATAACTTTAGCTTGAAGAGAAAAAGATAGGTTCAATGATACATATTTCTCTTTCCAGATTCCCGAGAAGATCAGCACTAAGAAACGTGGGAGAATTGAGCCCAGCGATGTTCATTGCAAAATAGCGAGCTGCGTTCATGTCATTTACCAAACTATTAAAAAAAACGAGTTCTTCATATAGATGTATAGCTTGGAAAAATTTCCTTGATTATTATATTGCGGTTAGGGCTTAAATTATGTGCAAAACAAATGTCTAATATGAATATCTTTTAAAAAATACAATTTTGTATTGCGTTACTAATTTTCTCCAAATCAATAAAATCAAAGTTCTCTGTACAGAGCTTTATATTTTGTAAAATCACTACACTTCCAAATCCAAACTTAAAATCATTGAAATCATTTTGATTTTTGAAATACGAGTCCAAATTTAGAAATAATCAACAATAGTTCATTTGCCAAATTCTTCTTGAACCATAGTAAAACTCGACTAAAAAAGAATATATATTAATATTAATATAGTGCAAGTCACTTAGTCCCACAATTTTCTGTGCCACGCCGCCAATTTTGAGAAATCAAAAATGCAATAAAAATTTTATAGTCACATGATTTTTGAAAATTGTCAAGTGCTAAATAAATATATTAAAAATTTTCTTTTATATTTATTCCTATATATACATATGTAAATGATGATTTGAACAATAAACAACAACAATAATGATTATAGTGATGTTATTAAATATTAATTAAATAAAAAAGAAATTTATATAACTATTGAATGATTGATAAAATCTTTGTTAGTATATTTTGTTCATAGATCTTGCTTGTCCTTAAAGCTTACTCCTACACAAACTATTAAATAATTGATAAACGTTCATTAGAATATTTTGCAAATTGCACATTTCTTTGATTAATGCAATAGTCTATTTATTAGATTTAAAATAAATGAACTTTGTATTTATTTTTTTTAATAATAAAGGATAATTCTCTTCCCGTTCATCTGGAAAATTCACGTGACAAAAGATCTGGAAATTTTTCAATTTTTATTTTGTTTCAATTCGTCTATTTTTGATATTAACTTTTTGTGTGTAACACGTCATTTTAGGGCTAAACATAGTAAATTCGGTAAACTTGTGCAAATCGTGATTTTGTAGAGGAAGGTCTTGGCTTCAAATACACGATTTATTTTGGGGTTTTGCATTTCCATTTTTGGAGAATTTGAAAATCTACACGACCAATAAAAAGTTATGGGACTAAGTGACTTGCATCATAAAATGTTAGTAATCTGAATGAATGAATGAATGAAATGAAAATAAACCAACAGTTCTAGTTGTACAAGAAAAATGAATTGGAGCTTGCAAATTAAAAATCAAATCAAACTGTTGTTTTTAAAAAACCAATACCAAGAATCGGTGAATTTAATTGCTTGTAAGCGGAGTTAAAATCACCCATATTTACCGTGCCAATGAATTGTTTTGATATTATTTGTTTCATATTAATAAGAATCAACTTCGTAATTATTACGGAGTTATTATTCTAAATCCGTAATTAATTATTATTATTATTATTATTACTATTACTATTATGGGAGTTAAAACCCGTAATAGTAAATAATTTCGACTACCGTAAATGTTAATATTAATATGATTGGCTCTGTAATTATTTATTATAATGTCTAATTGTTAAATAAAAATTCAGATTATTGAAGCAGTTCAAATAGAAGTGATTTCAGTTAATTGCTTATAATAATAAAGTAAAAAAATTATGGCTTAACATTCAGAAAGCCGGTTTATTTTTCCTTTTTGTGTATTGATAAATACATGAATATATGAAAAAAAATATAAATGAATTTTGCTTTTTGCCATCTTTACATATAGAACTTCTATCAATATGACAGTTTTATTTTGGATTAATAATGCTTGAATTTATTACACACATCGGAATTTCTATTTACATATTAATATTAATAATAGTGATTATTATTATGTTAATGTTAATAAATGCGTGTTGATCTTCGTCACGTAACTTATATTTACGAATTTCCCGTGATCTATAAATTACTATTACTAGCAGAAGACAAAAGCAGGCAAATATTGTTAGAGCAAGAGAAATTTAAGAGCTTTTTTACTCGTCACTATTAAAAAAAATGACGTTGATTCTAGTTGTTAGTTAAAAAATTATAGAAAATTGTCATAGCATTTTGGAAATAAATTCTTAAAATGCAACAATTGTTGTACCCAAATTCACCCGTTTTTTTTAATATTCATGGCAATGTCAAAACATTTATTCTCAAAAACCGATTTTGGGAATCCATCTTGACTTCCAATATAAATTAATCTAAAATTATATGGTGCATTATTTTCATTATAATGACCATATTTTTCTGGCCAATCAAATCAATTTTTAATTTCAAATTTAACAACTTTCCCTCTCGATTTTTGTCCTTGGACCCTTTTGAAGATGTAACTTGGGTTATAATCTTTTCAGAATTAGAATAATGTTGGAGAGTTCTTCATATAATTCATTATTAAAAGCTTTATGGCCTGATTTTCTCATAAAAGTCACCCGAGGAAATGTTGTTAAATCTAACAAATTGAAATTCCAAATATCAATCTCATCTAATTCTAAATCATCTCTTTCCAACAAGTTATGTTTCTTCAACCATTGGATTTTAAACCATTTCGGGTTTCTATAAATTAATTCCTTGCAATAATCATTGTAATGGACCAGACCAAAACTCTTTGATCTCAATGGACCAGTCTATTGCCAATCCCGGAACAAACCAAACAATTGATGTCTTGATGAAACTTTACAAACGCAAGCTATGTTTTCTTGAATCCATTTATTTTTTTTCATTGATCAAATAACTTTGTAAATAATCAATCAACCCTTTAAAATTTAATTCATCGAATGCTTCCAAAAGTTCCAAAAGTTCATCTTCATCCAGGTTATCTATTATACTGAATGGTAAAATCTATTTATACCATGTGTTGTACGAATAAGTCCCTCTTTTTTTATTTCTTTGGACGCGAATTATTCTTTTTGAAAAACGATCAAGACGAGAGAACCAGGCACCCATCGACAAACGTACTAGAAGTATTGTTATTTGGTTCCGAAAGAGAAGATGTGCGCTTCAAACCAGGGCTGGCAATGGACCAGTCCATTGAAACTATTGGCATATCATATTAAACATATTCAATATTTTACTAATGCTAATAGACCGGCCAAAATACATCAGCTTCAATGGGCCGGATTCATTGCCAACCCTGCTTAAAAAACCCCTATTTGTTGAAGGAAGTATCTTCATCATCATCACCCTATTCTTCATTCACTGATGATAATAAATTATTATAATCATAATCTTCTTCATCAGATGATTGTAAAAAATCAAATGTACCAGGTCTAGTCAATTTTCTACCATCATTTTTTGTCGTCAATGTCATGATTTTTATTTTTTTGACTATTTTACATTAAAATAAAATGAAATTAATGATAATAGTTACGAATAAAAAAACAATTAATCAATCTTGTTGATGAGAATATACTCACGCCGCCCTTTCATTTGTTGGACCCGCATGATTCACCAAAATTTCATTATTAATAAATTGAAAGGGAATCTAGAATGCCGTGGGTAGGTGGCAACATCGTAGGAAAGAGAAGAATAGAAAGAAAAATTAAAACCACCAATGCTACCATATCATCATCTAAAGACTTGAAAATTTTTCTTAAACATAAATCACGTCATGAATCAATTAAACATCCATTTTAATATTAATTACAATAGTACGATCAACCATAATAATACTAATATTTATTACCTCCAGTTAACATAAATCCAAATATCTAATGTCGATAATAATAATGGTGTGGTGTAGAACCATTCATTATCTTGTTCTTAAGAGATCAAGTGGGTGATTGTGATCTTCTATTCTGGATGAGTGTACCTTGGCTAGTTTATTCCTTTTTATTTATAATTAAACCACGTAAAAAATACATCCACGTAAATGAATAAATAATTCCAATTTCAAAATAAATAAGACGTAATAATGCATTAAAATTTGTTTTTAATCGTTGCAGATCATTTTAGATATTTATTATTTAGATAATAATAATAAAAAATATCGAAGAAAAAATATGCCACAACCAAAACTTAAGAAGAACTCTGGCCTCGGTAGAACAATTATTAAAGATAGATTTAAAGGTCATAAACCTAAAGATGGCGATACTGCATTGGTAATATACAACAACGTGATGATATCATGATATTAATGTCTGTTTTTTTGTTCCTTTAAAAAAAAGAATTATTAATTATTATTATTGCATTACCAATTATCATCATCATCATCATCATCATCATCATCATCATCATCATCATTATTATTAATAAGCATACAACTGACTTAAACGATGGGCCTAGCTGGACAAACTTACAATCAATAACACATCAAAA